GCAGCCAGACTGACTGAGATGATTATACAGTAAAGGAACAGGATTTATTTCAGCAAAGGAAATTTCTAAATATATTGTGACAGCCTGGGTTTAAAGATTTGCTGCAGTTAAACCCAATAAATATATGGGATTTATGGGATATAAAAATTTATATCCCATAAATTTATGGGATATAAAAAGACCTTAGTTATGAATATATAGGATGGATGGATGGATGGATGGATGGATGGATGGATGGATGGATGGATGGATGGATGGATGGATGGATGGATGGATGGATGGACGGATGTTTGGTTGGATGGATGCTTGGTTGGATGGTTGGTTGATTGGATGGATGCATGGAGGGATGGAAGGACGCATGGAAGGATGGATGGATGGACGGATATTTGGTTGGATGGATGCTTGGTTGGATTGTTGATTGGTTGGATGGATGCTTGGTTGGATGGTTGGTTGGTTGGATGGATGCTTGGTTGGATGGTTGGTTGATTGGATGGATGGAAGGATCCATGGAAGGATGGATGGATATATGGAAGGACGGATGGATGGATGGATGGATGGACGGATGTTTGGTTGGATGGATGCTTGGTTGGATGGTTGGTTGATTGGATGGATGCATGGAGGGATGGAAGGACGCATGGAAGGATGGATCGATAGACGGATATTTGGTTGGATGGATGCTTGGTTGGATTGTTGGTTGGTTGGATGGATGCTTGGTTGGATGGTTGGTTGGTTGGATGGATGCTTGGTTGGATGGTTGGTTGATTGGATGGATGGATGGAAGGATGCATGGAAGGATGGATGGATATATGGAAGGACGGATGGATGGATGGATGTTTGGTTGGATGGATGCTTGGTTGGTTGATTGGATGGATGCATGGAGGGATGGAAGGACGCATGGAAGGATGGATGGATGGACGGATATTTGGTTGGATGGATGCTTGGTTGGATTGTTGGTTGGTTGGATGGTTGGTTGGTTGGATGGATGCTTGGTTGGATGGTTGGTTGATTGGATGGATGGAAGGATGCATGGAAGGATGGATGGATATATGGAAGGACGGATGGATGGATGGTTGGTTGGGTGAATGGATAGATGAATGGGTGTGTGGACTGATGGATAGTTGGTTGAATGGATGGATAGACAAAAGGATGGATTATTGGATGGATGGATCGATGGATATAAGAATGGATGGGTGGATGGATGAATAGACAAATGGATGGATGAAATAATGGAAGGGTGGACACACAGATTGGTAGATGGATGGATGCATTAGTGGCAGATCGTACATTTTTATTTTCTGAGAGAATCTATTGTTTCAATCAGATGCTGGGTAATAAGGCAACATAAAAGTTTTTGCTTTCAGGTTATAGAGAAAGAAGGTTCTCACCTGTGTGCCATATATAATTGAATAATACGTAGGTGCTCGCCACAAAAAACAGCCAATGCAAAGGAACAAAAATTAAACAAAAGATGTCCAGGGTGAAGGCAGCGCAAACAAAAACAACACAAATAACCTGAAATTAAACAGGAAAAAAGTGAGTTAAGTTCATCGCATGAAACAAAACCAACAAATAATACAGAATAAAGGCCATTGTGCCTCGTTTTCTTTGCACAGGAGCAGCCTTGGTTTTTATTATTGGGGCTGCAATACAGATTATGAGAGCACACAGCAGGAGTCCTCACCAGGCCATGGCAGTGAAAAGTGGTGTACACACTCCCAAAGAACAGCCAGCATGGCCACAAATACTCCAATCTGAATTCAAGGATGAAGTCTGCCAGCAGCACCAGCGTCCACATCACCATAAACTTCAGGAAGGTGTACGCACTGCAAAAACATTTAAAACTCATAAAAATCTACATTTTCCTATATACTGCATACATGTAGCCTACATATTTATATATACCAAAAAAATATTTAGAAGTGAATAAATATGGCACCAAGAAAACAAACAATCATCTTCTTTCTGTTCATGGAATTCCAAGCTTAAGTCACAGTCTTTCATGCAAACAAAAAGCACAAGCCTGGATATATAAAAGATCTAAAAGTAAAACAGAGCAGCTGCATCTCAACAATGAAGTCCATTCCTTTAAGTAGAGGCAACAAGAACAACGACTGTCCCCATGATCAGTTTTATTAGGCAGCTAAACACAAGCGGTGCTTTCCTTCCTTTGTTCTGCTCATCCATTGACTGCCATCACATCACCCCTTCTTTGTTTGGTTGCCATGGCAGTATCTCATCTGGAGGAGAGAGGGAGCACCACAGCATCCTTCTGCTACTCTACATAATGTCTCTTTTTAAACTGACCAACATGGTTTAAAGTATCAGAAACATACACGTTTTTTTTTTTTCACAACATAAACTCACAAAATTTCACTTTTTAATTTTGAATCTTAAACAGCTTATATGTATTTAGTTTAGATGGCTAGCTTGTATTTACGTACAACATGTTAGAATTAGCTTATTTTAATTTTGTCTGTGATCAGCAAGTCAAATGCCTAAAAATATAATTTTTCTTAAAAAACCTTCATGACAAAAACATCAAAACTAAAAATCCTCACTCTTTTATTTTTGGTCCATAAACACATAAATCAACAACATGTTATTTGAATCAGTTTTTTCCAATTTTGAGTAAAGAAAATTAGAGATTTATGCACACAATACCACGTTTGGAGATAACTCTACAGCATGTAATTTGCAAGTATTCTAACCCGTTTATTCACATTAATGTTTATACTCTGACTTCACTAACACTGTGTTTAACATCTGCTTCCTTTTTTTTTATAACTTAGCATAATTTTTCTGTCTAAAGTTCATATTTAAACAAAAAATTGCCCTCTCTTTTATTCTATTCCACTCTAATGTCTCCTGTTAAGTATGGTATTTAAATCATGGACTGTATTTTTTTTTCTACTTTTTTTTGTATGTTAAATATTTTAAAGAATCTCAATCACTTCAACTTTGCATTGCTGTATTTTAAAAGAATGACTTGATTATACTATAAGATACGGTTAATATTGTTATTTATGAACTAGACATATTTTTTATTTACCTCTTTTTTATTAGACTTAAAAAAATTATTCCAAATATATATATATATATATATATATATATATATATATATATATATATATATATATATAAAGTGGAAAAATATGTTGTTTTATCATCTATCCTTTTCTGGAATCCATATAAAAGTATTGCTAATATCAAACTTCAGCCAAATACAGCGATAGATGCACAAATGATCAATGGAAGCAATATGGTAAAGATGTTATTCTTGACCATTAAATAAATAGATAAATGAGATATGGTGTGGAAACAGTAAGGAGAACAGCAGGCCGACATAAACTCTGCTGCTTTCCGCCTGTCTGCAAACAGTCTAGGCTGGAATAACAATATTTTCCTTGTTTTTGTTGGGGTTTTTTTATTCAGCTGCAGAGGCTGGAGGTAAATCAGCTTCTCGCTGCTTTTTTTTTTTTAGAAAGAAAAGATGCGACCAGCGGATGGTAAAACAAGATCAGCGGCAGACCAGGTGAGCGGACAGGATGACGACGGCCGAAAAAAAAAATCACACAAAGACGGGAGACTGAGCGCCACAACAAAAGCAGCAGCCGCTCGGCTACCTCTCAGACAGCTTCTCCGTGATTTTCAGTCGTCTCGTTTTCCGGAGCCTGTTCGCGTCCACATAGCGTTTCTTCATCTTATGGCTTCTGCTCCCTCCGTGTTGATGTCTGACACCGCGGCTACAGCAGCAGCGGCAGCAGCCAGAGGAGGGCAGAGATAAATAAAACAGACCTAAGGTTTCCCTTCCTCTGTGCGTGTTTGGATGGAGGATGATGCTGATCCTCCAACCTGCGATGAGGTCTGCGAATCTTTGCGCATGCGCAGCTCAGGGTGCACCTACAAGTGTTTATCACAGGAGGGGAGCAGATCAACAGAATGAGCACATGGAGCGTTCAGCCTTGTATGTGGGAATTACTGGACAAGTTTTTACTAGATGCACAGTGGCGGTTCTAGACCAAATGTGACAGGGGGCCAAAGAAGCATGAAATAAAAAAACAGGGCAAGGGATTCAAATATATTAATATATCTGCATGAAGTGAAATTTTTTATTTAAAGGAGAATTCCGGTTTTTAACACTTTTAGCCCATTTTCTGTAGTGTCCAGGATGAAATCGAATGATCGACACCAAATTTTGACAATTGGTCCTGTCTCTGCTTTTTGGCTCATGCAGAATCACCCCCTGGCTGCTTCAGAATGGCTTCCATTGTGCATGTCCGATAATGTCCTTAAAACAACCTTAAACGTTCTTTTTTTTAAATATGCTACTCACCGGGTCGTCAGCGCTGTTCAATGACGTTCCAAAAAAAGTTTCGTAAAGAAAAAACGTTCCTGTAGGGTTTTATTTAGCATTTTGTAAATCCCATTGAGTTCTGTTGGAATAGTCAATATTCCCCTGCCACCGGAAACGGAAACTGGGCCTGTTTACACAGTTGTAGTCTTTTCGCTTCACTCTGTGTACTCCGAGAATCAAGAATCCACCTTTCGTATTCCATTTTCAGAGTTTTTTAAAGTGTTTAACAGAGACGTTAGCACCTCGACGCCGGAGGCTTAGTTTCTAAAAGGAAACTAAGCCTGACTGGGGGATATGTTAAGTGCAGAATCCAGCGTTGGGATGCTTTACATAAAATTTTCCAAATGCAAAGACTTCTCCACTTTTGGCATAATTACACAAATAAAAAATAGTTGTATTAACCATACATGTAAACAGAGTTTTATGGGGCTCCCAGGAACTGGGGGCTCTAGGCAACTTCCTATTATTGCCTAATGGTAAATCTGCCCCCTGATCCCAGTGCTGCATGTCCCGAGCCTGTAACATTATAAATGATCCCTCACATCCCTGCTCTCCTTGCTACCCTTTGGGAAGAGGCTTCCAAGCATCCGATGCTGTCATGTTTAGCTTTTCAGTCTCTGAATAAGAGCAATCACGGAGGCAAGAATCAGTTAAAGGGTTTTATTGAAGGTTTGAGGCTGTACAGAGTGAAATTCCAGCAGGCAGGGTTTTCTGGATACTGCTGGAAGAGTTGGGAGACAGGTGAGCAACAGTTCGCTGCTGGTTAAAAAGGGAGGGATGTATGTGACTCACAGAGAGCGCGGCTTGGTGTCTGTCTTGGGAGGATGGTGACCAGTGGTCCAGGCGAATGGTGCAGGTCCGGTGAGTGAGATCTGATGGTAGTGTCTGAAGGTGGACAGGCAGGCGAGCTCAGGCAGGAGGACTTTAATAGTTTAGAGGTCCGTAGCCTCTCTGGTTCCTTGAGGCTGTCTGATAAGTCTCTGACAGGTGTCCAGAGAGCAAAGAAGTCTCTGGAGTGGTTTCAGGCTTGGGATCCCGGGTTCTAAGAGAAGGAGCAAGAGAGTACAGGGTTATGTTTTGGCTAGGCTGTGAAGCAAGACTTGGTAAAGGATCAGTTGTACCACGCTGGAGCATTAACGAACTGACGCCCTCCTCCTGGTTCCAGCTCCTTAAGAAAGGTGGGAATCAGCTTGATGAAGAAAACCTGCCATTCCAGCCCTGCAGAGAGGAAAAAAAGGAAAATCGGCCTGCACCCAGGCCTAGGAGTATGACAGCTGCAGGTCCAGCAGATTCCAAAACTGCAGATTCCACTGCCATCAGATTGCTGAATGTTGAAAAAACAAAAAAAACAACAAAAAAAAACGATGAATTTTGGAAGAAAAAAAAAATGTAAAGCATATCAAAGTCTTATGTTTACATTTGGTCACTGCTGCACTTTAAGAAATGGAAATGTCTTGAGAGCTGTACACAACGAAATTTCGTTTTGTATAATTCGGTGTATACAAAATGACAATAAAGTTTGTCGAAGTCAAATATCTTCAGGAAATTGTGGCTTAACAGTTCTAATTGGATTATTTCAGACCAGGACACAATCTCTGAGACCGTATTGGGTGATTTGAGCCAGGTCTGTGGCAAAGCTTCTATCTTACAACCCTACTTCTCATCCTGATGTTAAAAAATAGACATTGTTGTCACCAGTAATGGGTAGAAATTCCTTCAATTCTTTTAAATGCTATTTAGATCTTTGCAGGTTTTTCTTCCCTGTTTCTCTAATGCATCTTAATTTGTGACCTTGGTTTAGCATAAACTGCACAGTTTTCTGCCAATATGAACAAAAAAGCATCTGAAGTTCAGGACAGTTTATAAATATAAATTCAGACTAAAAATATCTGCTTCAAAATTTGTCTAGGAGCAAATCCAAGAACTTTAAACAGTATTTTGACCTATGCTAACATTCTAGGGTGCACCCTGCCTCTTAGACATTGACTACTGATTAAATCCAGAATGTTTAAGGATAGAAATAAACCCAAGGAGGTTATTAGTGTTGTGTTTGAATGTCATACATTTTTTTTTTGTTACTCCTCAATATCAAAGTCCACCTCGTTATCACCACGGGTATTTCACAGGTGTGGTGTTATCTAATCTTTGGTTGTTGTCTTAAAAACTGGAATGGTCTTGAATTTGCACCTATAAATGTCCCACCTGCAGGTCCCCAGCTTTGTCTTAGAATTAACCAACGCCATGTGTCGTCTTTACCTTCTCTGCATCCTTGGCCTTGCTGCTGCCCTTCAGGTGTCTGGCACCTTGGCAGATGATCAGCCCTCTGAGGTAAGGGAATTAGGGTATTCATATTCTATTAGCAACTTCTTCATTAACCCTAAAAAGAATAATTGTTTATTTTTCTCTCTTGCCTGTAAAAAAAAAACGATTCCTAGAAAGCGGGTGAGTATTACTTCTATTATTAAGGTGATATTCTTTGAAATATTACAGTGTTGTTTAGTTTTTGGGTTTTTTTTGTGTGTGCATGTTTTAGGTGCCATTCGGGCGACTTCAGCAGAGCAGACCGAGATCGTAAACAAGCATAACACGCTGAGGAGGGGGGTCAATCCTACTGCCAGCAACATGATGAAAATGGTAGGAAAATTTGAAAGAGTAAAGAAAATTATTGTTTTCAAGTGTTGAATTCTTCAGATATTACTATCAGCTCACAGTGTTTAATGCATTGTTTTTACTCATTTTCCCACACAGAAAAAAGGCAAATTCACACTACTGAGTTAACCCTCTGAAATTTCTAAAATAATGAACATTTCTATAATCACTGGTGAGGATTTCTATGTTCCCATGTGGCAGTTACCCAGGGATGTATCACAAGGGGAAACCCAAGCATCAGATGTCATATAAACATCCCATTTACAATTTTATAGATAATTTTAACAAAAAAATATTAAATGAGCTTTGCTTGACACATATCATCATCATCAGTTTTATGTGTTTAGTATTAATAATCAAAATAAATACCAATGAGTGCATTTATTTGCAAATACATTAGATTTACAGTTTGAACTGCAAAACAGATAACCTGATTATTATATCATTAATGTGAGAATCAACAACAGTTGTAGAACTGGTTATCCATGCTAGCTTTGCTTTTATTACTGTTTTAATAAAATATCTTTTGCCATTCACTTTCCTCTCCTCCATACAGAGCTGGAACAAAGAGGCTGCAGCCAATGCTCAGGCATGGGCAGCTACCTGCTCCATGCAACACAGTTCTTCAAGCTCCAGAGAGATTAGCAGTAAGATCATTCTTTTTTCTTTTTTTTTTTTTTACATCCAAGACTTTCAGATATATGAAATTTATAGAAAATTTTTATTTGTTGAGGATATGTAAAGCCTTAAAGAGAATAAATGTATGTTTTTACTGAAAAATATTTTTAATAGAGCCTTTTCATTTGACCCTTTACTACTAAAACATTGTTTTATTATCAGACTGACACCTCAATAGATCACCTATTTTTCTCAATTTACTACGACTCAGAGGTTCCCGCACTGTTTGGCGGATGTATTGTAAAACGCGTCCATGTTAAATGGGTCCGACTTAGCAAACAACTGAAGTGTTATATTCAAGATAGATTTTGTGGATACTCAGAAGCAACCGTTTAGCTCAACCCAGACCCAGAATTCAGGCAAGACAGACAGTGGAATACTTAAGACATTTATTCAAACAATGACGGAATGGATCTGCAGTGGCAGCGTCTGAGACAGGAACATCTATCGCTGAGAAACACAGGTCAGTAACTATGATAATCTGACGGAGGATGATTATGAATTTGTGAGTCACTAACCTGGTTTGACAGTTGAGGTCGTGCCCAGAGAACGAAGATTATTCAAGCCGGTCAGCTGACAAGATGCAGTGGACTCTACCAGAGAGTTCCAGATGCTGTAAGGCTGCAGAGTTGACAGGAGATCAGATCCATCCTGATGAAGGAAGGCAGGATAATCCAAGTCTAGAGGCAGATCCAGGTTCCATTCACAGAAGACAGGCCAGGCAAACAGATCAGACAGGGGTAGGCAGGCTCAAAGGTCTAAATACAGAAACGGATCAGGATCAGGCACTATAGCAATGCTGGAAAACTCTCTACACCAAAGGCTGAAGAATAATGTGGCACTGATGGCTGGGACCAAGCGAATCAAATAGAAGCAGGATCAGATGGATCAGATGAGCAGTGATGAGAAACAAGACAGAGCTAGACACTTGAATGAAATGAGCAATAAAGTCAGCCATCAGTGCCAAAATCATGACACAGACACCAATAGCAGAGGTGAAAAAGGTACAAAAAAAACAATTTGCCAAGACCAGCATGACGTACAAGAAAGAGCAGAAAAGTGTTGCAGTGTTACAAAACTCCATAATGCCTCTTTAACTAGTCAAATGAGACCTTGTTTCCTTTAATAGATATAAAAAATACAAGCAACTTAAAGGAATAGTACACCCAAAACATGATTAGCCTTCATTTTCTACTCACCCCCATGCTGAACAAAACTCTGGAGTACTTTTTTGATATCTCAAATGCATCTGGAGATCTGGGAGGCTTCTTGCTGTCTGCTGACATTCAAATAATGGAGGTCTATGGTGCCCGAGACAGAAAGGTCCACAAAAGTCCACAAAAACGTGTCAATATTCCTCCATACTGCTCGTCCAATGTATTCCAAGTGTCCTGAGTGGGTAGCGTCCATAATTTACTCGAAACGAAGTCATTTAGAACGTTTTAGAGCCTAAACAGTAGTGTATAGGATTTCCTAATAGCGCCCCCATGCGCGCTCACGACGCTACGGAAGCCGGCAGACCAAACCAGCGCATTCAGCTCGGCAAAGAACTCATGCTCTTCCTCAACACTGAAGTCCTCAGACATTTTTCTTTCGTTGTTTCTTTCTTTGCACAGGTAAACGGCACATTTCTTCTTCTACGCTTGCATTATCGGCAGAGCAGACGCTGAATGCGCACTTTCTTCCGGTTTGGTCTGCCGGCTTCCGTAGAATCGTGAGCGCGCATGGGGGCGCTATTAGGAAATCCTATACACTACTGTTTAGGCTCTAAAACATTCTAAATGACTTCGTTTCGAGTAAATTCTGGATGCTACCCACTCAGGACACTTGGATTACATTGGACGAACAGTATGGAGGAATATTGACACGTTTTTGTGGACTTTTGTGGACCTTTCTGTCTCGGGCACCATAGACCTCCATTATTTGAATGTCAGCAGACAGCAAGAAGCCTCCCAGATCTCCAGATGCATTTGAGATATCAAAAAAGTACTCCAGAGTTTTGTTCAGCATGGGGGTGAGTAGAAAATGAAGGCTAATCATGTTTTGGGTGTACTATTCCTTTAAGGCTTTAGAGTTAATACCGGTAAATGAAAATACATTTTTTTTAGTTTTTTTATATCTATATTTACAGAAGAAACAGTTTTTTAAATCATATTTCCCCTTTGTAATGCTATTGTTTTTCCTTTGTCAAAAAGAGATGTAACCTTATTGTATAATTATAAAATCTTAATGTACTGTCATTAAACAATGTGGCTGAGACATTTAAGTCAGAGAGTAGTAGTTTTATAAGCCTAAAATCCTGAAAAGGGCTCATATTTTACAGAAAAGTATTACACCAGATCAAACCCATGTCATATTTCAGCCTTTTGAAATCAAGGGAAAAAAGCACAAATAGATTATGAAAGTACATTGGAGAAGGGAACAACAATTTTGCTTGGTTGAGTAGAAATTGTGTTTTGCAGCCAGCGGTTGTGGGGAGAATCTCTACATGTCCAGCTCCAAAAACACCTGGTCTAACGCCATCCAGACCTGGTACAATGAGGTGAAGGACTATCGTTATGGTGTCGGATCCACTAATGGAGGCGTGGTGGGACACTATACACAGGTAAAGTTGTCTTCAAACACAACCTGATCACTGTCGGCTTTAAAAAGGTAGTGCTAAACAGCTTTTCATTTCTTCTTGGTGGACAGGTTGTTTGGGCTAAGTCCAACCAGGTAGGCTGTGCTATGGCCTACTGCCCCAACTCCAAATACAAGTACTTCTATGTTTGCCACTACTGCCCACCGTAAGCAATTTAATACAGATTTCTGTCTTTTTTAAATTGGATCCTACTCTCTAATTGTCTTTCTTAAATGAAATACAAATTGTTTTACTTGAATGATAAAATGGACACACAGTCAGGTTAAGGGAGGTGGAGATGATACCAAGAGTTAGATTCTTCTGCTGTGTTTAATATTTGATGCTTTGGCCTGCATTGCAGAGGAAACTATCAGTATACTAATCCCTACAAGTCAGGACCCTCTTGCGGTGACTGTTCTGGCGCCTGTGACAACAAGCTCTGCAGTAAGTGGAAAAGCATATAACGCCAAGGATGTTGCATTTGAGAATATTTCATTTTGGCTTAGTTGACAAAATCAGAAAGATGGAAATCATCTCTAACCAATCTCTAGCCAAATACCTATAAATGTCACTAATATGGAAACTGTAAAGCAGATTATAATTTTAAGCTTTTGACTTTGGGAATTTATTATGATTTTCAAATTTGGTTACTTCCAGGAACTCCCATTTTCCAGTTACTAATTTTCACTTCACAGAGACAGTTTTTTTTTTTGCTTGTAGCTCCAAATATTTTGTCTTAATAAGCATTTTTGGTGTGTAATCAGGCAAAAAAAAAGAAATATATAGGCTCTTATTGTACAGGGTTAATTCACAGTAGTTATTAGATAAGGTTACGACACAGTAGTATTGTTGATTCTGACAGCAGAAGGGAGGAAAGGCCTAAAGGAGCACTAAAGGTGCTGCTCGGAGCTGCTTAATAAATCTGCCTCTTTGAGATGTACAAGCCCCTGATGTGGTCGGTTGTCACTAATAGACATACGTATATCATTCTTTACCTGCATGCTTTACTGCTACTTGCTTCTGATCCATGTTAACAGAGAAAAACCTAATTCTCATAGGTATGTAGGTGTGAGCAGAATTAGCATTTGTTGTACTTTCCTGAAGAGGTAGGGAAACTCTGTCTTCATAGATTGTTGCAGGCATAGGCTAAATGTGGGATAATGTGATTGACCCAGTCAATTAGCTGCAGGTCAGAAATCCTTTTGCTCCCTTCTTTGCATTTTTCATTAATTCTTTTGTTGTTGTTTTTTTTTCCAGCCAAATGACCAGTATAGCAACTGTCCAGAGCTGAAGCAGCAGTGAACCTGCAACCATAAAGATGTCGCTTCTTGGTGTCCCACCTCCTGCAAATGTACCAATCAGAATAAATAAATTTCAAACATGTACTATGATTCATCCATCCAACAAAAATAAAAAATAAACATTCACTGCAGAAATCTTTATTGTTATTCTGTTGTTTGTTAACCCAAGAGGCAAGGTTGGACCTCTCAGTGCAACAGAGGGAAGGAAAATGATCTGGTTTAAAATGTCTGGCTGCTTTACCTACTCAGTAATTAGGAAAGGTCAAAAGGGAAATGAATGTTGGAACAATAACCCTCTGGACAAACACACCCTGCAGGGCCAGGAGCCTTTTGACAATATGTGAGGTGTAAACACACAGGGAGGAAGGATAGCAGAACTGACAGGGTCACTTCACAGAGGTGGGAAGGAAAGAAAAACAAAGCTCTGCCAAAATAAATTATGCATTCGAGGATATTTGGGATCCTTCATGACTACTGAGACCTCTTCAACAAAATGAGGGAAAAGCGTGATGATAAATTGAGTCTTTTGATTCATGTTTTATTTTTTATTTTAAGGTGGTCAGTGTTTCTCTAATATTTGATACAGAGCCCCATAACTTTAAGCAACTCTACAAAATGAGAAAGATAGAAGAACATGCTGTTCTAGTGAAACGTGTACAGCTGTGCTTTAGAGTTTACATACCCCCTACGTTAAAGCTACAGTGTGTAACTTTTAGCGACATCTAGCGGTCAGACTGCAGACTGCAGCAACATGAACATCTCCCCCCCACCGCTTCTCCCCCCCAACAGTACGGCGAGCGTTACGGGACAAAATGTCTTCCACGACGTCCGCATCACCTACCTTCGCAAGTGATGAGGTTTGTTTACATAGATAATTTTACAGATAGTATCTCGCAATCGCTAGTTTGTTGGCTCTGCGCTGCTGTAGCGCAAAGATGTCTGCCTCCATGGCTGCGAGACCCGCTCCTATGTAATTATAAATAACGAATTCTAAGGCAACACAAATATTAAGGTTAAGAGGCTGAGCTCGTAGATGATGATAAAATAACATAGTTATGTATAATATATTACATTTCTGACTGTATATCCCTGTAATTATTACACACTATAGCTTTAAAGAAAATTATAATAAGTACAAATAAATAAAAAGCAATAAATAATAGGCTATTTTAGTAAAATAAAAATAAATATGTTTTTGTTTAAAAAAAAAATTAAAAAAATAACTGCCCCAGACAAATTTAGACCCTGCCCTTGAACAGTGAACCAACATATCTGTCAAAGGGTGCAGAAGTCTTACTGAACATTTTCTGAACATTACAGAAAACCCCTGATTTCAGTGATTTCCTCTAAGTTTTGCTAAACACTATTTTAGTTCAGGTTCTTCATCAGACTTGTTTATGCAAGTTAGGCCTGCAGACCTCCAGATTTTGTTCTCGGCTCTATTGTGACCTCCTGGTTGAGTCAATTAATTACTATTTGAGAAATGCCTGTTAGGTTGGTCACTAAGGGAGGAGTAATAATTTTTGCTTACTGTGGTTTACTAGACTCTCCAAAGACTCTGGAACAGCATTTACCCCCGTTTAGACTACCCAATGCCTTTGTTTTTAGTCCCTTCGTTAAATTCTTTGAGTGTGGCAAGTTGTGTTGGTTCTATAGCAGGGATTTGTTTATTCACATATGAGGCTGTCATAAGGCATTGGTGTGATTGAATTCACAGTTAATTCATAAAGGGAAAATTACTTTTTGCCAAAGTGTTAGCTTTCCCCCCCTTAAATTATATGAGGAAGTTTCACTCTTAGGTTATGTTCTTCTAATATTAAAAGTAGTAGGGTAATCCAAAACAAAATAACTTAAAAAAATAAATAAATCAAGAAATCTGTAATGAGGTAAAAACTCTTACAGATCCTTATAAAACTCTTCTACTCAAACTGGAGATCTTAAACCAAAGAACCTGCAACAGATAGTTCTGCAGGTTTGTGTTGCTGAAATCCATCCAGTCTGGATCTTTTGTGATCTTTCAGCAAAAACATATTGCAACTTTCCTCTCTTCATTTTGAGTATTTAATTGTTTTTATTCTCGTTCATAAAAATAATCAATGCTAATTTCAACAGTGGATTTCCTATTACCACCATGTTAGAACACACTGCCATTGTATTGAAATTAGCCCCCCTCTGCAGCGTTAACAGACTTCTTCCATTTTAAATAAACAGTTGCTCTTAATTTTTGCTGCACTGCAATGCTTGCCAAAAATCTCTCTTCATGTATTACAGCACGCAGGAGTGAAACATATGCAAAGTTGTTGTTATTTCTGCATGTGTATTAATATAATGAGAACAGCACCTGCTGAAAGTAGATGGAGGAGCCAGGCGGGAGCAGAGGGGAGATATACTGAGTTTTTTCGTCTGCCAGTTGGTCCAGTGATAGCAAAGGTCCTCTGGTTTGCACAGGGTTGATAAGGCCAGTCTTGCCATCCTGTGGGTCTTATCATCTGCAGCAGCAAGCCTCAACAGTTAGTCCCAGAGCCAGAAAACGTTTATAAGACTGGCGTCAGTTGGGCGTCCTAAAGAGTTTTTTTTTTTTTGTGTAACAGTAATGACCTCTTTATTAAATATGTTGCATGTCTCATAAAAAGAAGTTTCATATTTCAGTTCAGACAGAAATTATCAAATGTAGCAACATTTAAACTCTGCAAAGCTATGTTTAATCTAAAGATGTAGTGGTATTGGATGTAAAGGAATTCAGATATTAAGGTGTTCTGTTACACTAATCAACAAAAGATGAAGCAAAATGATGAGATGGAAAGAAAAGAAGGAAGCATAACAGGTTAGTGGAAACTCTAAATGAGCATTTCCACAGGAACACATAGATCAGTTACATCAGCATGCCAAGACTGAAGACAGTTGATTTAGTCTAGGCTGTTATCTCGCAACATCAACGTCCCCTCGGATTGGAAACAGGATGCCGAAAGAAAACGAGCTGCATCTCAATGGAACCCACCAAACATTTCAGGCCTGAATGCAGCTAAGTGTCTGCATTCAACCCAGATTACATTTGGTGGGTTATTAAGTGAAACTAGCCTTGAAAGGTATTGCTTATTAGTAATTTAAGTGATAAAAACATAAATTTACTAAAATGAGAAAACAATAAAGACAGGGTTTCAAAATATTTTGTGATAACAGGCTATAAACTCACATTAAGTCTCTCAATTGCATGAGTGCTGTAAATAATAATAATATCTGGAGTGTTTTAACAATTTTTCATATTAAAAACACAACAATTCTCAAGTGGATGTCTTTAATAGAAATTATATTCCACTGCTTAACCAGATACCCCTAAATAAAATGCGATGTAGCTTGTTCTGTTTAAAATTTGTATTTAAAAAATTTCCTTTTCAGTATAAATCCATCTTTTTGGCTGATACACAAACAATGGTGGATGCTGAAAACTATCAGTATGTCTTATACTGAACAGCCCATCCCTACAGTGCAGCATCATGCTGTTGTGATGCTTTCCTTCAGGGGGCATCAAGTCGGTCAAAGATGAAGTAAAGACACCTAAAGCTAAACGTAGTTAAATTTGAGAAAAGGATTGAGACACAGTAAACATTCGCCTTTGGTAGGATGACGTGGATGGAGCCACAATAGGATGGTTTGTTCAAAGTGACTGCATGTGTTTAAATGGCCTAGTCAAAGTTAATTTTATTTGAACATTTTTACTAGACATAAAAACATTTTTTTTTTCCCGTATGCCTTTCATCCAGTCTGGATAAAAATAAGGTTTTTTACAAAAATATTGTGGAAAGAAAGTGTTTATTTCCAGATTGATTTGGTTTTATAAGTTTTTAACTCTAAAGTAAAATCAGAAATGTTCAGGATAACAAAGATTACTGTTTCAGCCTTTAAACAACAAAAAAATGTGTATTTAATATAGTTCAGGTCTTCTCACAATACAAAGGTTTTTGTCAATTTTACCTCAAAATAATGTTGTATATATGTGTCGTCTGTTTATGAATACAAAGTTACTGTTTTTTTATGTTTTTAGATAAGGATTTTTATATGCTAACTATGGATATAAATACCTAGGTGTGGTGTTGCATTTGAAACTTAGTAGAACATCAATATAAAGGTCAATTTAAGACTTTGGAGTAGAAACTTTACTGTAATGTAGAGAGAAAAATTCAGTCACTAAGAGAAATATTGGAGGTTAAACAGTCGGATCAAGGCAGGCTGTCATAAAAGCTGGACAATGAAAGAAAACAAGAAACCAAGGGATGGTATACTTCCTACATCAAAGTAGAAAGATGAGGAATAAACTAAGATGGTGAAAGAATTTAAGTAGTTTCTATCAGAAGTCCCTCAGGTTACAGTTTTCCTGTCTCTGAATCCGCACCATCTCTGCTCCTCTGATCACCTGTGTAGAGAGAGCTCCTGCTGCAGAAACAATTAGGCTCAGAGCGCTGGGATCGTGCAGTTTCCTTCCTTTCATTGAAGGCTTGTAGGTGCAGTAGAACAAAGCCCGCCAACATGCCACTCAACTGGCCTCTTAGGCTTTCAACACAAAAACAGAGAACATCAGAACCAAAGCCCACTGAAAAACAGATCCTCTCTGTCACATGCCAAGGCAATGAAATATGGCATTCTCTGATAAAGATTTTAAGGAAGCATTTGTAGCATTTGTAAGCCTGCAGTTTTTATTCTCAGTATTGTAGCTGGTGCTATAGTAAGCTCTAACTTCCCTATATTGTCCTGACAATCTTATACCCAATGGGTCGGGTAGACGTTAAGGGGCCTTTGTGCTCCCGAAGCTTCCTAAAATTCATTTTCGTGACACTGTGGTTGTTTTTTGTGAGAAAATGTGATGGGTAAGAGTTCAACCGCTGGGTAAAAACTTGGCTTTAACAGGATGCTGAGCTAAATAAAACAAGCCTGGTTCACGTCACTCATTAGGAGACGGTGTTTTTCTTTTTCCAAGCTGCAGTCTGCTTGATGGGTTGTCCAAATCAGTATAGACCTCAAACAAATGTACATGAAATAAACATTGAGGGAAGTACCCATGGAGGAAATGGTTAAAGGGCAGGGAGTGGAAACACAGCATATGGCAAAACATTGATTAGGGCAGATCATGTGCAGTGAAGTAAGAACAATCCAAGTTTTTTTCTCAATATTATTGTTATTTATTGGCATATATTAAGTAATTGTCATGTGACAGGTTCCAGCTCTGCTTCAGCTTGAACTGTTTTTGAAGATTGTCTCACATTTATTACATCATATGTGATACATGCTAGATTTTCATGGTGCCCTTTCTGATAGCGAGCTGATTGAGTCACACTCCCACCACTTGGCTTCACAGTTGGAGTCAGGTTGGAGTCCTGAAATGTGTGTATTTGATTTACTCCAAACAAATTCCATTATTCAGGTTCCCACAGTAAGTGCATTTTTAAATCAAATTGTACTTATTTTGGAAATGTTTTAATCTGGGTGCTGATGACTGGTTTGATTGCCAATTTCATTCTCCTGCCTAGCTCCGCCCAGTTTCTCATTACCACTCATCATATCCACCTGTTCCAGCTTCTATTTAAACTGCTTGCTCCCAGTCATCAGAGCCAGATTACTTCTCTCGAGCCAGTGGGGAGAGTTGACCAGCATTACCTTAGTGTTTCTGATTTCCTGTTCTGCCTCTCTACCACTTAGCCTGCCTGTTCCTATTCTGATCTGTTTGCCTGACCTATCCCTGGAATCCTGCTTGTTCTCCTTTCTATGGGGCTGCAGCATCTGGGACACTCTGGGCGGCACTCTCCACATCTTGTTGGCAGCCCACTGGCTGGATCCTACCTTATTCTCTGGGCACAGACTGAACTGTTAAACCAGGTCAGTGACTCACGCGTTCATATTTTTCCAGATTATCCTGTCCATTAACCTGTTTTTCTCCCCTTCAGAATTTCCTTCCTCAGATTCCCTGGCCACTGATACTGCAGATCTGCAGTCCATTCATTTTAATAAAAGCTTTTGAAGTTATCCCACTATCTGTCTTGCCTTGAATACTGGGTCCTCTTTTCTGAGCTGTGAAAGGGAACTTGAAAAAGTTCTGTCAAAAGTTCATAACTTAAGTATTTTTTTTTTCACATCCACCTCGCAACCTTTAGTGTACACTTCAAAAGCTTTAACAGGGATTACAACTCAGACTTAGAAAAGAACATGCCTCATACATGTATATACACAAAAATACAAACTGGTAGTTTAGGATAATCATTACCATGGAACTAACTAAAACAGCAATACTTGACTATGATTGGACGTCAAACCTTAATTTAGTTAGATTTATAGATTTTTTATGAATCAGTTTTGTAATTTTTTCACTTACAGCTGTAAGTGCATTGGGCAAGACAGGTTTAATGGTCTAAAATATTTCAGTAGTAAGACGATTCAACGTGCTGTACATGACAAATACCATAAAAAAAGAAAAATACATTGAGTACATAAATGTAAGATAAAAAGAATAACAATTAATAATCAAAAGAAGTTAAATATATTAAATTAAATCTAAAATGTTAATAAAAATCAAAGGGAAGTTGGACTCAAAATTGAAGTAAATATTTTAGGGCAAATGTCACTCTAAACAAATAAATTTAAAGCAGCTTAGGGTTTCGATACTTTTCCAGTTTTCCAGGGGACTATTCCAGATTAGTGAAGCATAAGAACTAAACTTCTCCATGTTTGGTTCTGGTTCTGGGTATGCAGAGTACATTTAAACCAGAAGACTGTAGATGTCTGGATGGTTGATAAACTAACAGCAAGTCTGTTATGTGTTTTTTAAAGCTAACCAATCTGTGATTTATAGACAGAAAATATTAAAGTCCACTCTTTAAGAAAAGGGAAGCCAATGTAAGAATCTCAGAACTGAGGTGATCTACTCTACTTTCTGAGTTTTAGTGAGGATGCAGGCAGCAGCATTTTGAATAAGCTCCAGCTGTCTGTTAGAGACTTTCTAGGCACACCTTTGAAGACAGTAAAGAAATTCATTCTATTAAAGATGAATCCATGAATTTAATTTTCAAGGTCCTTCTGAGACGCCAGTCCCCTCCTCCTGAAGATGTGATAGAAAGCTGATTTTGTTGTTGTCTTTACTTGCCTCTGAAGATTCAGGCCTGAGTCCTTCTCTACACCCAAATTTAGAGCCTGATTGATGGTATACTAGCTATGTTAGCTGAGGCTGTGTACAAACTTTTGAACGCTAGTCATTTAGTCCCCGAAATTATTACTTCACTTTGGTTTTGATTTAGCTGAAGAAAAAACTTCTAAATCCATGTGTTGTCACCTGGTGGCATTGTTACGTTTAGCTGTGTTTCGTCTTGCATCGTTATAGTAATTTATGTCTGAGTTTTTTTTTTATTACAAATTTTTGGGAAAACATTTTTTACCTAAGAACTCTAGAGAGAACTTCTGCGCAGTTTTCATGCATCTAATATTGTAGTTAAGAAGTGTAA